CCTTCACTGTTCTTAGTTGCTTGCGCTTGGTTAACTTTTCTTGTATGCAATCACTAATTTATGAAGAGGAACAGAAAGATATTGGTTATTAGAATGGGCTGTGAGATCTTGTTTCAATGTGTTGAAATTTTCTCTAAAGAGTCTGCGGACCACTATATATCTGTGGATGCTTCATGTATTAATTATTTGTGGGGTTTTCTTTCTGTTGTGCTATCAGTAATTCACAGTTTTTTTTTTTTTTTTTTTTTCTGTATGGCAGATGCAAGGTGTGGTAAATGTTTTCGGCCGGATCTCAATCCTTATTTATGAAAATACGGAGGCCTTCAACATGTTCATGACAGCACTTCTTCAGGTATTCTCCCCTTTTTGTTTCCTTGTATATCTTTTGGTTATGTTTAATTGAAAATGATGGAATTGGCTTCCTGAGGAACTAGAGGGCCATAAAGACGGCAAAGATTGCTTTCATATGCCCAGTTGTTCTTTATGTTGACAGCTTGCCATTAGTTCAAGTCATAGCTATGGCAGCTTCTACAGCATTGACTTCGTACTCACTGGCCTTGTGGTTGTTTTAGCTTCATTTTCATGTTTCTTCAGTATCACTTGTGCACAATGGAGACACCATTACAATATATTTTCTTGCTATCTCCATTATTATCAGGACTTTCTGAAAAGCTCCCGGATTAATCTATGTCATTTTGCTGCAGCTTTTTGATCGCACAGGCTCATTATACGGAGAACTAGCTAGATTTGTACTGAGAATACTGGGAATCAAACGAAAGCAAAGAAAGGTTTGCCCACCAGGTCCTAATGGACTCCCTCTCCCTGGACCTAATGACATGCATGCAAATCCAAGCTTCATCAAGGGACCAAAGGCTGCCCCAGGTGAATCTTGGGACAGTGTTTGGGGAAAGGATCCTAGTAAATGAATCGACCATACTTGTTTAGCACGATGAATCAACCCTATAAGAGTAATTGAGTAATCAGCTCAGTGAAAGAAACATAGTTACACTGCCAACATGTTCTGAACATGACATGATTATGTATCTAATGTAATGTCTAGCGTATAGATCGCTTCAGTGCATATCTAGCCTGAAAGTTAAACCTTTTTTGTATTCATTAATCCGTTTTCCCCGTGGATATATATGAGATCATATGGTATAAGCTTTGATATGATAAATCTACTTTGATTTTTGGTTCAGTGCACCAAGAAAACCCTTCTAGATTTTATCCAATGATGTAAAAATCTGCCCTCAAGAAAGGAGACTTTCGGATCAATCTAAGAATCATCAGGAAGTATTTTGTATTTATGATGAAAATAGGGGGAGATATACTGATGAACACACTAATAAGACAGGCTGCAAGCAATTTAGTTTTCACAAATAATATTCTTGTAATATCTCTGACTCAAAACCATAATTTCAATGTAATCCCAGGGGAAGAAAGATGGTTTGAACTTCAAAAGGATGCATATGGTCTCGAATAAATAATAATTGCATAATGAATGAATGAATATCTACATTACTACATACATCAATGAAGATGATATAATAAATGTGGAAGAAGTTTTAAAACCCGGTCCGGCTGATTCAACCGGTTCAACCAGGACCCGACCAGTGAGTTGGGCCAAGTGAGGCTAATAACCGGTAATATAAGGCTGACCAGTTACACTCACGGTTGGACCAGTGTACTGTAACTCCCGCCAGTCCAACCGTTATTTAAAAAAAACACCGAGTCACCTTTAAAAAATTAAAATTAAAGCCCATATCCCTTAAACCCCCAAAATAATATCAACAATTTCCTCCCCATTTTCACGCCATTTTCCTCACTTTTGGTCTAAACTTTGAAAATCTTCCACCAGAGTCTCCCCTTCACCGTCGATTTGGTCTCTCCAACCTTAATCGTGAACTGCTCTATTCGTCATCAACTGGGGTACTGAGACTCTCCTCACATTTCACGATCTTCTCTATCCTCTCTTCACTCTTCTTCACCGCAGATCTACTGTGTTCATTGTCAATCTCGGAGCTACACCATCGATCTCCTCTTTGTCTTGCCCGAGAACTGTCGCCTCTTCCTCACATTTGTTTGATCTCATCTCTTCACAGTTCATACTTCACAGTCAACGTCAACTCATCTTCATTAGCACCAAATAACTATCACCTTACTGATGTACATTCTTGGGGCAACAAGCGTTTAATTTTCTTTTGGTCAATCAACACTTATATTGACGATATTACACCGAACAGGGAGGTAATACAAACCAACGAACAAAGAAACAAAAAAAAGTTGCTCATTTTATTATTTTGATTTGTAATTTGTTATATTATTGATGTAATAATGTTTGATGATGCCTTACTGAAGACTATTTTATTCAGGAGTTTCTGATTTGGATCCAAATTCTGGAATTTTGCATTATATAAACAGTAACATTGCTGATGTCACCAGTTGAACCAGCTGGTTCAACAAGTTAACCAGGGACCCGGCCAGCTTGCTGGGTTTTGTCCCAGTCGGTTTTTAAAACATTGATTACAATTGCTGGCTTCCACGTCTCTATGCAACTCCAACAATATTGGCTACTCCTTCGGATGGTTTGTTTAAACAATTTTCAGCCATCTTTTACATGAATAACACCTGCAAAAATTAGACACCACTTGAATCAACGATTTAGAAACTGACATTGGGCTTCCATGGTTCTAGTTTTTGGTTAGTGGACATACCGCACAAGGTGAATTTCCATGATTTTTCGGTTTGGGCTACTTATTCAGCAGCTCACATTCCCCAGTCAAACCCAGATGTTAAGGAAACAATTTTGTTGATTACTTGGCAGTTATGCACCCAACAATTTCTTCAACTTTTTTATTCCACTGCATACATAAAACAACAGTCAACATTTATGAACTTTAATATGTTTAGATGAGTAAATGAACTATGCAAATGTACAATGTACATGCATGAATGTTTTAAACTCCGTACCAAACAAGACCTAAATTTTTTAACACTCAGTTCAAACTACTATATCGACAGTGCAAAGCATACTAACCAAACACATTGATAAGACTGTCAAATGTGACGGAGTTATTCCTTTGGGAAGGGAGGAGCGTTAAGCACTTTCATAAAAACAGACATAAGAACAATCAAACTTTTAAGCAATCAAAATGTGTAAAGAAAAGAACCTCTTTGGGGCAGCTTCTACAGCATTGACTTCGTACTCACTGGCCTTGTGGTTGTTTTAGCTTCATTTTCATGTTTCTTCAGTATCACTTGTGCACAATGGAGACACCATTACAATATATTTTCTTGCTATCTCCATTATTATCAGGACTTTCTGAAAAGCTCCCGGATTAATCTATGTCATTTTGCTGCAGCTTTTTGATCGCACAGGCTCATTATACGGAGAACTAGCTAGATTTGTACTGAGAATACTGGGAATCAAACGAAAGCAAAGAAAGGTTTGCCCACCAGGTCCTAATGGACTCCCTCTCCCTGGACCTAATGACATGCATGCAAATCCAAGCTTCATCAAGGGACCAAAGGCTGCCCCAGGTGAATCTTGGGACAGTGTTTGGGGAAAGGATCCTAGTAAATGAATCGACCATACTTGTTTAGCACGATGAATCAACCCTATAAGAGTAATTGAGTAATCAGCTCAGTGAAAGAAACATAGTTACACTGCCAACATGTTCTGAACATGACATGATTATGTATCTAATGTAATGTCTAGCGTATAGATCGCTTCAGTGCATATCTAGCCTGAAAGTTAAACCTTTTTTGTATTCATTAATCCGTTTTCCCCGTGGATATATATGAGATCATATGGTATAAGCTTTGATATGATAAATCTACTTTGATTTTTGGTTCAGTGCACCAAGAAAACCCTTCTAGATTTTATCCAATGATGTAAAAATCTGCCCTCAAGAAAGGAGACTTTCGGATCAATCTAAGAATCATCAGGAAGTATTTTGTATTTATGATGAAAATAGGGGGAGATATACTGATGAACACACTAATAAGACAGGCTGCAAGCAATTTAGTTTTCACAAATAATATTCTTGTAATATCTCTGACTCAAAACCATAATTTCAATGTAATCCCAGGGGAAGAAAGATGGTTTGAACTTCAAAAGGATGCATATGGTCTCGAATAAATAATAATTGCATAATGAATGAATGAATATCTACATTACTACATACATCAATGAAGATGATATAATAAATGTGGAAGAAGTTTTAAAACCCGGTCCGGCTGATTCAACCGGTTCAACCAGGACCCGACCAGTGAGTTGGGCCAAGTGAGGCTAATAACCGGTAATATAAGGCTGACCAGTTACACTCACGGTTGGACCAGTGTACTGTAACTCCCGCCAGTCCAACCGTTATTTAAAAAAAACACCGAGTCACCTTTAAAAAATTAAAATTAAAGCCCATATCCCTTAAACCCCCAAAATAATATCAACAATTTCCTCCCCATTTTCACGCCATTTTCCTCACTTTTGGTCTAAACTTTGAAAATCTTCCACCAGAGTCTCCCCTTCACCGTCGATTTGGTCTCTCCAACCTTAATCGTGAACTGCTCTATTCGTCATCAACTGGGGTACTGAGACTCTCCTCACATTTCACGATCTTCTCTATCCTCTCTTCACTCTTCTTCACCGCAGATCTACTGTGTTCATTGTCAATCTCGGAGCTACACCATCGATCTCCTCTTTGTCTTGCCCGAGAACTGTCGCCTCTTCCTCACATTTGTTTGATCTCATCTCTTCACAGTTCATACTTCACAGTCAACGTCAACTCATCTTCATTAGCACCAAATAACTATCACCTTACTGATGTACATTCTTGGGGCAACAAGCGTTTAATTTTCTTTTGGTCAATCAACACTTATATTGACGATATTACACCGAACAGGGAGGTAATACAAACCAACGAACAAAGAAACAAAAAAAAGTTGCTCATTTTATTATTTTGATTTGTAATTTGTTATATTATTGATGTAATAATGTTTGATGATGCCTTACTGAAGACTATTTTATTCAGGAGTTTCTGATTTGGATCCAAATTCTGGAATTTTGCATTATATAAACAGTAACATTGCTGATGTCACCAGTTGAACCAGCTGGTTCAACAAGTTAACCAGGGACCCGGCCAGCTTGCTGGGTTTTGTCCCAGTCGGTTTTTAAAACATTGATTACAATTGCTGGCTTCCACGTCTCTATGCAACTCCAACAATATTGGCTACTCCTTCGGATGGTTTGTTTAAACAATTTTCAGCCATCTTTTACATGAATAACACCTGCAAAAATTAGACACCACTTGAATCAACGATTTAGAAATTGACATTGGGCTTCCATGGTTCTAGTTTTTGGTTAGTGGACATACCGCACAAGGTGAATTTCCATGATTTTTCGGTTTGGGCTACTTATTCAGCAGCTCACATTCCCCAGTCAAACCCAGATGTTAAGGAAACAATTTTGTTGATTACTTGGCAGTTATGCACCCAACAATTTCTTCAACTTTTTTATTCCACTGCATACATAAAACAACAGTCAACATTTATGAACTTTAATATGTTTAGATGAGTAAATGAACTATGCAAATGTACAATGTACATGCATGAATGTTTTAAACTCCGTACCAAACAAGACCTAAATTTTTTAACACTCAGTTCAAACTACTATATCGACAGTGCAAAGCATACTAACCAAACACATTGATAAGACTGTCAAATGTGACGGAGTTATTCCTTTGGGAAGGGAGGAGCGTTAAGCACTTTCATAAAAAGAGACATAATAACAATCAAACTTTTAAGCAATCTAAATGTGTAAAGAAAAGAACCTCTTTGGAAGGAAAGGTACTAGCTCTTCAACCATTTGAACGTCAGAACTACTCGCATCCTCTTCAGGTGAAGTTTGACTTTCTGATTTAACTGCTCATTCAGATGGGAAGTAGGATTAACAATTTGCATTGCAATTATGATTACTGGAAAAATATATGTACGTGTTGAAGTGTTACAGAAAACTAAGTCCTTCTTCATCAAGTAAAATACAATTAGATTTAGAGAGAAAAAAAAAAAGCATAAAATGAAGCCGCACATCAAATTCTAAGATCCAATGGTTAGTTTACAAGACAAACAGAATATCCATGTTGACATTTGTTGTTGGTTCCATCCACTTCAATTTGCATCTCTAAAACAGGAATCAAACAAACTAATTCATAAATATGTAACTTTAAACATGATTAAGATAAACCCTATAAAAATAAATATTAAAATATAAAGGATCTAAACATCCATTCAATGATGCAAAGAAAATGATATCACTCACCTTGTATTGACATTATATAAAATTTTTAAAAATAATCATTAAAGATGGATTACATACCACTGGCATGTTCTTGAATTGATGAGTTGCCTCTGAGATATGAACTGTCATTACAGTCTAAATCTAATTCTTCTTCCTTAGCAAATTTCTCTAACATGTGACCAATAACATTATAAGCAACCAGACTTGTCTCATCACAAATTTCTTGGATAGCAACATATTGGTTTCTACGTCTACTTTGCTTGCTGGGTTTTATATCTTCATCTACTAAGTTATTTGAAAATAAATCCCTTGAGAATACTGGAACCTTTCTATTATTTAGTTCAATTTCATGTCCCTCAAACAAGTTGTGATTAAACCTTTCATGCGGCGTAAGAAAACGGGAGAAACTATTCCCATCAGCTATGGAAAAGCAAACTTTTCCCAGACTTTCTCCTTGGTATTGACTAATATCCATATTAGTGGTGCTACAATGAACTGTTGATCCCAAGGATTGTGAGAGAGAAATGATACCATGGGAATCAGAACCCAGTCTGATAAAACACTTTTGTCCAGATCCTTCACTTGAGATTTTTTTAACCCTGTCCTTAGGTGTAAGGTAGGCAGAAGATCCATTCTCCATAGTGGCAGGGGCATCTGACTTAGAATCAACTGGCACCGACTCCCCAACGCCTTCTGCTTCATGATCTGGTTCAGCATCACCGTCACTATAATCACTATCATCATCATAATCTGATCCTCCATCACTTTCTTCTAATTCCTCCATATATGCATCAGTGAAGTCCTGATCAAGCCCATTGTCAGGAAGCAAATCCCAGATAATCTGCTTTGTGTGAGCACTCACACTCAAGACACAATCTACCTCCTGTTCGATTTCCTCTTTTGGGAAGCACCAATAAGGTGTACTACGAGAACTCCGGTTGACAATAGCAAGAGCTTCTAATAAAGACTTTGGAATGATATCCATATCACTGCACTCAAAAAGATAATCAATTAACATTTTCTTAACTGCTGTTCTAAGACCACGATTGGGTACATCAGCATTTGGGTCCAATAAATGCTGCAAAGTTTTCAGCTCTGGGAATCTAACCTTTGTTTTAAGGAAACAAATTGCTTTCACTATCTCACTTTGTAAACTTCTTATTTCAGGTGAAAATTGATGAAAGCCTGCATCAGAGGAATTCTGACAGCCTGGTTTTAGCTTTAGTGATAAACCTGCTATAGCCATTGCTTTGGCTAATGGCATCTGTAGCTCATCTCCTTTACTGAGTTCGGAAAGCATTTTCTTGCTAATTTTCCTCACATTGTCAATTATCTGGCCTCGACTCCGATTTTGTCTGTGGCGACGTAATTGAGGCATAACTCCTTGGACACCTCTAAGCTTCCTGTCCATTGAAAGCAGGACCTGGGAAGGCAAGTCCTCGAGTCCAGCCAATATCTTGATAGTAGCAGCATAATGAGATTGAAGCGTGGGAGTTAAAAAGTTAGCAGAATTCTCCCGGAAATTTTGTGGGTCATATAGAAGTAGAGATAGCTGCTTTAAGATATTTGTCTTCCAATAATTATTTTTGCTTTTCAAGTCTTTAGAAAGAGATTCCCTAATAACCATTTTCATTTGTTTTCTAGTTTTCTCAAACTTGACAAAGCCTCCTGTAAGGATCATGGCAATGCGGTAAAGCCCCTTACTTGTCAAAGCATCCAGTTGCGACATGAGGATTCTTTTTATATTGTGCATCTCATACAATAACATATTGTCTTGAACATCATGGTCTCTTTCAGCTGTACATGCTCCAAAGGATTCTTCAACACGTGTTTTTACAGTCTCATAGAATATCTGAGATCCACAATAAAGAGAAAATATGAACATCTACTAGTGCTCAGCTGAATAAATTCAGACAAGCAGTGAACAGCAAACACAAATTATACCAAAGGTTCTTATAGAAGAATATTTTACTAATAAACCAATCAAGTATATCAAATTTTAAGAATCATTTGGATTCGCAAAAGAACAAAACTGCAATCAGTTTTACCAAAAATATTTTTCCCAATGACATTGGAAAAAGGGGCCCTTTTTCCAGGGGCTGGATTGTTGGTAGAAACATAAAATAACCAAGAGAAAGAGATAATATATATGCTAATGTATCTTTCTATTAGAAAACAACCACAGGCATTGAATTTGACAAGACTAGCAAAAATGTCCCAAGAGCCAATACAAGAGCTCAAACTAAGAACAGACTCTAGCAGCACATGGAATCCAAAGGAGCAACAGTGTTGTATGATATCCTCGCATCTTCAATCAGGTATACATTTGAAATTCATTGGAACTTGGCTTCTACAAAAGGCATACAGGCAGTCAATGGAAAAATTCGTTGACAAATTTTTCATTTGGATGGCAGAACTAGCATTGAAACAAAACTTGATTCAGCTTAATTTTCTTTTTAATTTAACCTATCAAACTTGCGTTCACAACCCTATGAAAATGTCTTCCCAACCAACCATAAGATGAGTACATGTCATACACGCTGATGTAGCACATCGCGGTTGGTTGTTTTTATGTACAACCATTATAGGGAAACTTTTTTCCAAGAAAACATAACCAAATTTCTAAATACAAATAAAATGTCTATGCCCCATTTATTTGTTGTAAGAATCAGAAGTTCCTTTTTATTTAAATTATAAATTCACTAAAACTAAATATCAAAATACAATGAAGAAAACAACTTACATCGTCATCCCTAAGCAGTGATTCAGGCAACGACCTGGAGATCAAACCAAAATCATTCAATAAAATTAGCGCCGAAGAAAAGAAAATAATCGCATGCTTTTTCTCTTTTGTGGTTTTGACATGCCATATTTCAGTGGGGAAAGAAGCATTCACCACTTACCTATCTTTCTTTAAGAACTTTGGCTCTTTAAACCGATTTCTTTTAGATTTGGATGTAGGGAGTCCCATCAACCACCTGAATACAGCAACTTGGTAAAAACACGTAATGAAATATCAAATCAAAACAAATCGCGGCGACATAACAAGAAACATTTTAAGACAATGCTCTCAGTGAACTTTTTACATCACACAGCTGCTCCATCAAAGCTAATGTAACGCCACAAAGTTTATAATTTTATTTATTTTTTTCATACTAACAAGTAATCTGACATTGAGTAAATTAAAAATTTTAGCTTTCTTAACGCTGTGACCTAACAAAAATTTTGATTATATCAATACGCTTTATATATATATAACCACCGTTAATTTGTACAGTATCAATGAAGGAAAACTTGAAAGGGAGCGAGGACTGACCGTCTTTTGAGCTTAAGTTGCTTCTCTTGGCTCTTAATTTCCGACAAAATCGATTCGCAATCTGTTCCGAACAATCCCGTCGATTCCATTCGAATTTATTCGTACAAGTTACGAACACGTCTGTTATTTCAGATTGATCTGACGGCGGAGAGGGACGGCGAACTTAAAGTTAGGGTTTTGAAGTCTATATAAGTTTTGTTACTGTGAACAAGTGGAGAGGGTTTTAGAAGAAGAATTACTGAGCCGATGGCGTCGGCTTAGTGGTCTGGTTGGTAAGCCTGTAAGCCGTATTATTATGGGTAAATATCACAAACACCTCTCAATTTAAAGCCAATTTTAGGAAAGTATAATATGTTTCAAAATCAATTATGTGAATGTTAAAACCAGTGATTAGGAAACCAACCCGGGTGTCACCAGATAGGGGTTAACCGAAAACCGGTTCAAGCAGAATTTTGAATCGAAATCAAACCTATTATCTACTTGAACCGGTTTTAAAATATTACTGAATTGGCAGAAAAATCTGTACAATAACCAAACATCAATTGAGTCGATATCAAAAACAAAAAAGAAAACAAAGCAGAGAAGCGCAAAAAGAGGGAGAGAAAGTGCAAGATCGGAAGAGGTGTGCATTTGAAGCCATTTAACAGAGTTGGCGAGATTAGATTGTTGGCCCTTGATGAAGATTCAATGAATCAACAAAATAAAGTAAAAGAAGAAATTAATTTGAAGGGGGCGTTTGGTTAGGGGTAATGTGAGATTACTGGAGTTATGTCATCTTATATTATTTGATTACTACGTTTGATTGGTATAAGTAATATAAGATATCGGTAATCTTCAAATACCAATATTGTTGGTAATATTGGAGGTAATCTGATTACCTCCATTTTCTTAGGTATTCTAAGATTACCAGGGTAGTCTTTTTTTGTTACAATTATATCTCTTATTAATAAAATTTTAGGATAATAATGCCCTTATTTTTAAATTTATTTACATGAATGTGACTTTTACTATTTCATCCCAATTAATTAGCTTTTTGGACAAAATTACCCTTGAATTCAAAACAAATTGTAGCTCACCCAAGCCACCACCCCCACCCACCTGCCACCGGCAACCACTACCAGAACGGCTCACGGAAGGCCGAAAATGGTCGTCGTGCGCCAATATGGCCATTTTCGGCCAGATATCTGGTCGAAAATGGTCAGATCGTGCCAGATCTGGCCATCAACAGCCAAATCCGTCATCGATCTGGTCATTGACAACCAAATCTGTAACGTTTGGCCATTTTCGGCCAAATCTCTGGTCGGAAATGGCCATACGGCACACAAAGGCCATTTTCTGCCTTCCGTGTGCCGTTAGGTTGTCGGCTGCTAGCGGCCTGCGATGGTTTCCGGTGGCCAAAAGTGGCTAGGTTGGTTGTGGTGCTTTGTTGATTTTCCAAATTTTTATTATAGGGTTGTTTTTGCTAAGTTTTTAAATGCAGGGGGGTTGTAAGAATCAATATTAAAAAATAATATAATAATAATATTTAATTAGAGGATAATTCAGTAATTTAAATAGCATACCCACCAATTTATTCATCCCAACCAAACATATTAATATAATATAACTACTAATTAACCAAACACATTTTCTTAAAGATTCCTACTATCTTTAAGGTAATTTAAGTTTCCAGTAATCCAATATTTCCTGAACCAAACGCCCCCAAAATATAAAAGTGGAAAGTTGAAAAAAAAAAAAAACTTACAATGCTAGAACATAGGGGAGAAAAGGCAGTTACAGTCCTAAAGAACATCATTGCTGCCTCATCTGAAAAACTAAAGGAAAAATGGTTTTTAATCAAAATGAGGATATAGGAAGAGAAAAGAGAAAATAAGTAATGCTACGAACACCGAATTTTTGTACTGAAGGACATAGTAGCCAATCAGACTAGACCACATTGGAGTCTTTTGTGAACGAACGACCGTCTAACATTTATGGATGCCCGCCCATATTTAATGGACTCCCGTTCAACAAATTTTAAAAGTAAAATAATGGGCATTCATGATTATTGGACGGTCGTTCACCTATAATGGACACCCATCCATGAGAAAATAATAATGGACCCCCATTCATATAATATGGATAGGAGTCGATTTACTATGGACGGACGTTCACCTAAAATGGACGCCCGTCCATTGTTTAAAATAAAAAAATTTAAAAAAAAATTATGGACATGCGTCCCTTTTAGATGGACACATATCCATTGTTTGATTTAAAATTTTTTACGACATTTGAGTCTCAATCCAAAAAGTAAATGTCATTGTCTTCATTAAAATTTTGTCTATATTCAAAATAATTGGACAGGTGTCATAAGAATAAGACACTAACTCAATTAGGATTCACAATTAATGTATTAAATAAATTTAAAATTTAAAATTTGTTAATATTAAAAGATGGACACCCATCCTCTTATGAGGACGACCGTCCATAACTATGGACAGTCATCCTCATAAGAGGACGGGCGTCCATAAACAATTTAGACCAATTTTTTTTAATTTAAACTATGAAAAGACATTCATTCTAAGTCAACAGTCGTCCATATAATATGGACAATAGTTCATTTCAAATGAACAACCATCCAATAACAATGAACTATCGTTCATATTTGATTGACGGCCGTTCATTCGCGGAATATTTGTTAACTTGATATGCGGCTCGTCTGATTCAGTTGATACGTCGTTCGGTGTAAAAATTCGGTGCAAAGCGTTCGTATCCGTAGCATTTTTCAAGAGAAAATGGATGAGAGAATCCTGTACCAAACCAAATTCACACCACCACCTCTGCTAATTCAAAGCTAAATTTATTATGTAAAACTTCTTCCATTTACAGCAAGCAGACTGAAGAGTGAAGACAGAAGATTTTACCGTGAATGAAATTTAGGTTAGGGCAAAATTAGGATTTTTTCGTTATTTAGGATTTTATGGATTTAGGATATTTTAAAAAAAACCGGTTTCGGTTAACTGGTTTTCGAAAAACCTATTTTTCGGTTCGGTTTTTGGATTTTTTTCACCTCACCCGTGATAAATAAGTTTAAAACCTAGCAAACACACCTCTAATGAACCATCAATCCCTACAGGTTTGAATTCTATCAAACACACCCCTACGATAATTACGGTGTTGATTTTTTCAGCCAAATTTCAGTTGATTCCGACGTAAAAAATTCAATCTGACATAACCACTTGAACCACCCGTCTTCATTCTACAAAATTCCTCTAACCCCGGCACTTGATAGCCTTTCATTCACCGACGATCAAATTAGAGATTTTGGGAATAGTTAAAAGTGGTAACTCGGCCTAAAGAAAGCCTTGGGTACCAATCGAACCAGTTAAACCGGTCAATCCTGGCCGGGTTCCTAATCACTGGTTAAAACCACTAGCTATTTATTTTTTACCTCTAATATTATTATTAGTTTTCAAAGGGTCACGTCCAGCACGAATTAGAGGTCCATTAGACCTAATCCATAATAGGATGATGGGAGGCTTTGATTAGAGAATGTGCCAAGAAACTTCCAAAATGTTTTAGAATATTCTTACCTAAATAGGCCACACACTAAGATTGTGATTCTCATTCTGGTATAATTAATCTTAGCCATTCAATTTATTGGATTTGTATGGAACTAAACCGTCAGATTTACTTGTAAATTTTTATATAAATCTGACGAGTGTTATATTAGTTTGATTGAGAATGATAATAATCATTGTTTTAAAACTCGGACCGGAGAGTAAACCGTTTTGCTGTCTAGGTCACGGGTCAACCGGTCCAACCGGTTGGTTGGACCGATGATGTCAGCAATATTTTATTTTTAAAAAATTACATATTAACCCCTTAAATTTCAATATATTACAAAATTCCCCTAAAAAAGTTTAAATTAGTGCCTAAAATTTTTATTTATTCAAAAAATGGCCCAATAAAATTACCAATTAATCCCTAAACTTTTGATATATCTCCAAAATACCCCTATAAAATTACCAAGTAACCCTCATAATTTAAAAATATTTCAAAAACCCCCCTAAGACCTAAACCGGACCGGAGAAGCTGCCGGTTCCCGGTCCAACCGGTCCGGTCCGTTTTTTAAAACAGAGATAATAATACAAGAGAGTTCTCTCATGCTTTTTAGATTTTCTTGAGTTCTTTGTGCATGTATTTTCTAGGAACGATACTCTTAAGGTCGTTACAAAAGGAATCATAAGAGAAAAAACTTATTATAGTAAGTAAATTAAAATGAAAAATGACATTTTAGCCCTTTTGACAACACAACATAATTAAATTACAAAATAAATTGTTCAAGAAATAATTACCGATGCTGTTATCATTTATTTATCTGCTCATAGATATTGAAATTTGATTGCAAATTTAATTAACCTGCACAATCTCACATCTTTTTGCAGCCATTCTATTTTCAAAGTACTTTGTGGGGCTTAGTATTAACCCTAAAAAAAATCTAAGAAAAATTATGGCGAACAATGAACATACGAAAATCTTCACTTGCTGAGAAGTTGAAGCTTCAGCAGTGTAACTTCAAACCATGTTCTGAAAAATTTGCTTTCACTTCTGCTTTGAACATGTATTCAGTCAGTTACCTCACCAGATCCGAAGATTGTGGTTCGAGAATTGATTGAATCATGATTCAATAGTTTAACCCCGTATAACATTACAGTTTCCTCTTTGAGCTAACAAAAATTTTCATTTCTGCTGAAAAACAAGTACTGCTATTGATCTCCAGTAATATCTCAACATTTTCATTTGAAGTAATCCATTTCAAACTCACATGAATGACTGAGATGGTACGATACCAGATCGGTTAACACATTACTTGAGACGGAAAAGTTGAAATATTATTTGAGAAGCATAATACTTCAAGCACGACGGAGTGCTCGTTTCACATGCTTAACCTAAGCCTGTCTATATTGACATCTCTCAGATAAAGTATCATGCAACTTCAATATTGCTAATAACTTTTCACACCATAGTTGAAACTGCAAACACAAGTCCTCCAGATGAATGGACAACATGAAACAAAAATTAAGAGCCCAAATAGAGAGAAAAAGAGAGAACGAAAGTGCAAACATCAGGAAGAAAGTGGAATAGGGTAAAAACATCTGCTATACAAAAAGGCTTACTCAAAAATATACATGTAAAATCCCCCACACAGTCTGATTACCAAA